AAAGCATAATGCGATCTGTGGAGTTTGAAAAAATATATAAAGTAACTATTAATGTAACTATTAAATTAGTTACTAGTTATCGAAAAAATGTAACTGAGTTAAGTTACAGTTATAGATGTAGAGAAAGTAACGAAGTTAAGTTAAAACACATTATTAATTAGAAAAAACCAATCCACATATGATATTAATTGCTTTTCTCTGATTTTAGTGCTCGAGGTTGTAACAGAACAAAGAGGTGGAGATTTAGAAAATTTGCACACAGTCTGTTATGATAAATACAAAAAGTTTGAACGGCCCAGTAACGAAAATGGTAAATATGCTGTTATTAGATCAGGCATTCAGTATCTCTTTTGTGTACGATGTAAAATTAATGTCATTCGAAAAGCATAAAGATGCATATAAAGCAAGACAGTTTGTATAAAAATAAATTTTTCAGTCATTGATAATTTTTAATAATTGACGAATCTTTTATAGAATCTACTAATTACAAGCAAAAATGTGAAACAGATGCTACGTTCGAAATATCAAAAAAATCGACATGGCAAGAGCAAAAGATTTTATTTTTAAGAGCCCTAATCTGTATCAAGCGAGATCCTGTGAGTAGAAATTAATGAAAATATTCAAACGATTCGCTTGAAAAATCAAAATACTATCGTTTCGATTGATATTTCAGCAATTGACAAAATTTAGATTAAGTGTACACGCTATTAACGGGGTGTTATTAGGAGTAGTTTTCTATAATTTCGGCAACGATGCGGAAAAAGTGTTTAGCAATATTGCTTGTTTCTTTTCCTTTATGATGTTTTTATTCTTCGCAAATGCCATGCCAACAGTGCAAATGTGTAAGTGTTATAATATTTCATACTTTTACATATTCTTTTACGTATAAACGTAATGTATAATTTATGTGATTTTGTTAGCAAATAACAACTCAGACAACCTTGTTAAAGTAAATTGTGTCAAATACTTACTAACAAGTTTTAAAGTAAAAAGGCATCAATTTTGATACAAACTGTGTTATATCTGTTGGAGACAAATTGTCAGCAGAAATATAAAATCTGCTGTCATCAAAAACTGCATTGCGCAAACCTCACTCGGCTTTTTTGTGCCAATTTAATTGTAATTACATAATGTCCATAAACTTTTCCATTAAAACACGAGTTGATTGCAGATACAGATGCTATATTATTAGTACCAAGTTTGGAGCGAATTTAATGCCAATTTAATGTCAATTTGATGACAATTTGCTTATTGGGAAAATTATATATAGTACGATCTCTTTAATAATACTGACAGACTAAAAAAAGTAAAAGCAATTTCTTTAAGAATATTTTCAAGTTTGCGTGTTTATGATAAATGCATCTTATAAATTTCACAAATAATTATAGCATGTTAATCTGGTTGTAGTTCCTACAGAAGCGTCGGTATTCCTGCAGGAACATTTAAATAACTGGTATTCCCTGAGATCTTATTATAGTGTAAAAATACTTGCGGATCTACCGTTGCAGGTATGTTTCAATGCGTGTTATTGTTTGTTACTAATTATGTCCTTCACACATAAAATTCTAAATTTCAAATTAATGTATTGTCATCGGTTTTAAAATTAAATTAATTAAAGATTTATTCACTTTCTAGATATTGTGTACCTCATCCTTCCTATTTACAGCATATTATATGACGGGGCAGCCAATGGAATATGTTAGAATTCTACAGATGTGGAGCGTATGTCTGTTAATTACAATTCTTGGACAAGCGATCGGAGTATTTGTAAGCGTAATTGTTGGCCGTGAGGTACTTCAAAGGCGTATTTTTTATTATTTTAATTAATATGCAATTATAAAAGTTAAAAAGTCAATAAATTAACGTTACATATTACAACAGTATATCGGAACAAATCACAGCTATAAGTATTTATATTATTTATAATAGTTAATTTTCCAATGTATTATATGTGTATATTGTGTGTGATCAGCTTATACTATTCAAATTTGAATTTGATATTTTATACTAGTTATTCAATATGAGAAATAATGTAGACTAAATATAATTTTAGTTAGGTTTGTTTCTGATACCGGCATGCAGTATACCATTGCTGCTCTTCGCGGGATTTCTCGTGAAATTAAATGACTTAGCGGCATGCTTACAGCCTTTAACCGTTATAAGCTTCTTCAGGTACAGACAATTGTATACCGCACAGTGATAAAAAAATTACTGTTACTAGTAGTTTCTGTATAAACCGTTTTTAACTTATGACAACTATTTACAAACAGTTTTTGTTCTTGTTTTTGTATAGAGACGCGCTTTTACTGTTTCCCTTATTTTATCTTATTTTTTCAGTAAATTTAAGAAAACATTAATTTTTTTGCAGATTCACATTCGAAGGAATGATGCAGGCGATTTATATTGACCGATCGAATCTGTCGTGCTCGGACATCTACTGTTTTTGGAAATCGCCAAATAAAATTCTCTCGCTCATGGATATGCCAACGGTGCCATTTTACTTAATTGTGATAATACTTGGCTCTTGGATACTTTGTTTTCACATAATGACCTATGCAGCACTTTGTTGGAAAATTTACTATGCAAAAAAATAACGTGTTAAATACTCATGTCAAGTTAACGCTTGTTTTAAACAAAAAACTGGTATAAATACTTATAGGTGCGATTTTTTCCAATATAATATTGTAATATGTAATGTTGATTTAATAATTTTTTAACATTTTTAATAGTGTATTAATTAAAATAATAAAAAATACGCTTTGGAAGTACCTCAGTGTCAGCAAATATGCTTATAAATATTCCGACCGCTTGTCCAAGAATTATAATTAACAGACAAACGCTCCACATTTGTAGAATTCTAACATACATATTCTATTGGCTGCTCCGTCATTCTCTAAATCTCCACCTCTTTGCTCTGTTTCAACCTCGAGTACTAAAATCAGAAAAACGCAAATAACATGATATTATTAATAATATCATATTAATTGAATTCGAACTGTTTGTATTCATCACAACAGACCATGTGCAAATTCTCTAAATTTCCACCTCTTTGCTCTGTTAGAACCTCGAGCACTAAAATCAGAGCAACGCAATTAATATCATACACTGGTCAAAAAATTAACGCAACAAGAAATTTACATCAAAATTTCACGAATTTCAAATAAGCGTAACTTCGCGAAAACTGGTCGAATTGAAAAGTTTTTTTTCATTTTATAGGGCAAAGCCTCTGCTTTAAGAAGCTCTTATTGGAATTTGCATTCACTCTTTCCATTTCCCGGAACTTTCTCAAAATCAAGATCATGTTTTTCCTCTAAAAAATTGCACACTTTGACGCACTGTGCGGAGTGTAGTAATTTTTCTTCGCCAGTTCTGCTTACGGTATCAAAAAGTGTATACTTTTCTCTTCAATTTACAAAAAAAGAAGTTCCTACGATTTTTTTTCGCCAAATCACAGCTCATTGAAATAACCCTTGTGTTTTCGACATTACCGACGATATCTCCGTTAAAAATTATCGTAGCAAGGTCGGTTTTTTTTTAAATTAAAGCTTGCACTTTCAGCTTCAAAAACTAGTCACCAGAGTTTTCCTCGAATGCATCTGCGCTGCTGTAGCTTTTAAAATGTAAGGACATGTTTTTACCTACAAAATAACCAACTTTGGCCAGGTGCCCAGGCGTAGGAAATTTTTAACGGAGATATCGTCGGTAATGTCGAAAACACAAGGGTTATTTCAATGAGCTGTGATTTGGCGAAAAAAATCGTAGGAACTTCTTTTTTTTTAAATTGAAGAGAAAAGTATACACTTTTTGATACCGTAAGCGGAACTGGCAAAGAAAAATTACTACACTCCACACAGTGCGTCAAAGTGTGCAATTTTTTAGAGAAAAAACATAATCATGATTTTGAGAAAGTTCCGGGAAATGGGAAGAGTGAATGCAAATTCCAATAAGAGCTTCTTAAAGCCGAGGCTTTGACCTATAAAATGAGAAAAAAACTTTTCAATTTGACCAGTTTTCGCGAAGTTACGCTTATTTGAAATTCGCCAAATTTTGATGTAAATTTCTTGTTGCGTTAATTTTTTGACCAGTGTATTATTAAAAATATCATATTAATTGCGTTTTTCTGTTTTTAGTGCTCGAGGTTGTAACAGAGCAAAGAGGTGGAGATTTAGAGAATTTGCACACGTTGTGGCACTTTGTTGAATCTGTTGTCATGAATACAAAAACTTGTTTGTTACTAATTATTTCCTTCACACATGAAATTCTAAATTTCAAATTAAGTAATGTATTGTCATCGGTTTTAAAATTAAACTAATTAAAGATTTATTTACTTTCTAGATACTGTATACCTCATCCTTCCTATTTACAGCATATTACATGACGGGGCAGCCAATGGAATATGTTAGAATTCTGCAGATATGGAGCGTTTGTCTGTTAATTAAAATTTTTGGACAAGCTGTCGGAATATTTATAAGCGTAATTGCTGGCACTGAGGTACTTCAAAAGCGTATTTTTTATTATTTTAATTAATACGCTAAAAGTTAAAAATACAATAAATCAACATTACATATTACAATATTATATCGGAACAAATCGCAGCTATAAGTATTTATACCAGCTTTGTTTAAATTGCTCAAAATTTTGTTTAAAATAAAGTAAAAATAACGTGTTACACACTCATGTCAAGTTTATGCTTGTTTTAAACAAAGAACTGGTTTATATTTTCGCTGTAACAGCAGAATGTTAAGAGAAATAGGATTAGAAATGTAGAAAAAGTAGAAACTTTTATACTTAGATATATAACACGGTTGTATAAACAATAACGTACGTTATAAGATTTATTTTTCTATAATATAATTGGGTATGGTAATAAGGTAAGAATTGGCATTTTATATAATACATATAAAATAAATTAAATGTAATTATATAATAAACTAAAATATCTTAAAATACAAATAAATCAATGCATCGATTGTGTAAAGTTGACAAGAATGTAAAATAGATAATAGCCTATAATTTCCATATTTTTACATCAAGAATGCAACAAAATAATAAATGTAAAATTATGTGTATAGTAGTGATAAAAAAACGTAAGGTGTTGTAACCGCAACAATAATAATGATGATACATACATAACGTGTATGTAAATTTGAAAAATCTTGTCTGCTGGGGTCTCGGTCAATTTTCCAAGTAAACGTAATTGTTTCTGTATATATCCACAATGTCAATTAATTAGCAGTATGAAATTGTTTGCATAATTTTAAAAAGTTATCACATTAAAATAATGATTTCTCAGTGAACAGTGCCTCTGCATTTTAAAATCAGCGTTTTCATTCAATACTCGCTGTTTGCGTCGTACGTCCTCTTTATGCATATCTTATTAGAAAGACTGACGTAATCCACGTTTTTTTTTGTTATCCTGGTATTTGCTTATCGAAACCTCTGGCAAATCGAAGCGCTGTCAAAGCTATGACAGACGCAATTACGTTGAAACTGATAAGTTCAAGTGACGTATCTTTCAACGGAAGTATCTTACTAAATATTCTGTTGACGTGCGACGCATACATTATAACACAGTATCACGTAGAATTTCTTAACACTCGCACGTATCACATTCAAGTATCAAAATTAAATACGATTATCGCAGTAATATCCACTAACATTATATTGTTACGTAAACTTGTCGTATGTTCTCGATGTGTCCCTCGATATGAACTTGGAGGTACGTATATACACTTGTCACGTAGACATACGCAAGTCTTACTCATTCACTTGACTATCACAAGAGTATCAGGCAATGTATCAAGATTATATACAGGGTGGCCAAAAAAGGTGGAGACCCCCGAATAACTCCGAAAATATGCAAGATGGAAAAAAATGCATATTTTCGGAGTTGTTCAGGGATCTCCACCTTTTTTGAATACGTTATATATATTATATATCTACAGAGAGAATGTATACCGAGCGCCTAACATTCATGACTCTTTCCGCTATATATAGATACCGGATAATTTTCAGATACTAGCAAAAATATACAATCAAGCGCAAATGAGTGGCTAAGAGAAGTAAGTGTTCATCCCATTGTTTTTCTTCCCGTTGTTTTTCTGGTACGCTACACGCGTTCGGCAAGTGCTGCCTCGGGTAAAACTTAAATACTATTGAACAAATTGAAAAGTCGAGAGTACGTACGTATAAGTCTCTCAGCCACATAAATATGTTGTCAGAGTATAAGAAAATCGCATTCCAAAGGTCTAGCCGTATCGGTTTTATCGGAATGATACGAGCTTCCATCTTAAAAGGATATATGCACTACATCGTGTAATTAATAATATTGTAGCGAGGGCGATAACGTCGTTCCAGAATTGGTCTCCCCTCATTCCAATGTCCGAGAGAAATTTCGAAGGGTATTTGTAGTGGCAGTACAGCTCGCCCTTTTCCTGGCAGCTCAAAATTGGTCTGTCCAGCCCGTAAATGGCTCCGACGAGTCTGCACAAACGCGTGTTAAATTAATGTTACAAATAATATTTAATATTTGTGCAATTTTTTATTATTAAATTTTCGATTAATTTCTTAATATCAAATAATTATAATTTATGTAATCTTTTAAATTATAATTACGTATAGAATTATGTGGAGATATTATATAAATATAAATAAATAGACTATTGACAGCACACGTGATAGATGTATTACTATACTAGGTACAAAATTCACTTGTTAGATTACAAAGTAATTCTTACCCTTCTAAACCGTATCGTAAATAGCTGAGATAGCTGCCCCACTTTAAATAGCTTGGTAGATCGCGTAATGACACTCCGAATCCGGCGAACATCATTAATGGTACGGCAAGTGTCGGTCCCATAAATGTTCCATTCTGCAAGTTAAAATGTTCATTCATTAACTTTTATGTCAAAAATTAAACTGTCTTTGTGAAACATTTTGCGACAAAGATAAAATTCATATCACAGGAGTCTTATCTGACGGATCGCTGAGAGTTACAATAAAACTGTGTTATCAATAATAAGATAGAGGATGGTTCATTATAATGACGCATTTGACAGAATCAAGATCAGAGGAAATTGATGACGTGCAAAATTAATATCTCTAAGTCTGATAAAGAGATTGGGTATCGATATTAATTATGCATTGCAACTGAATAACACACTTATTATAATGAAATCTACGTCGATAAAAATTAATTACAATTTTAATTAATTACTAATACTTACCACGACATTAAATATAGCGCCTATCATGAGGCCGGTACCTTGACCTATGAACATAATCAATAAGCAGATGAACGCAAACATACAAAAACGAATAATCTCCAACGGTTGCGCCGACATCAAGTAGATGATTATCGAAAACAGTATGCAGCATGTTATCGAGATTGGCACGTCGATCACCGTTATCGCCGTGTAGAATGCCTTTAGGCTGTACCACCTGTTAAAGTGCTCCTTCACGAGGATGGACATCTGCATTGGGACTGCAAATCAAAGACGAGACGTCTCTTTTCCGTTACATGCATTATTAAAAGTCGAAGAACCGTCAGTCGTCGCAAAGTCATGGGAAATGACTTTACGGGAAGCGCGCAAATATGTACTTACAAGTCACTACCGTAAGCATCATTGTCGTCATCATGTGATGGATTAAAATTGAGAACAAAAGGTTGTAGTTGTCCAATACGCGGGAGCCATCGGCGCCGGATCGCATGAAAACGCAGCCCAGCATTATTCCGACGATTATATTAACACCGATGCGCAAATGCGTCAGGGTCTGCAACAATATACGTGAACGGCTATTAAACAGAAGTTTGTGCGATCGTAATGCGAATGTTCCTTACACCAAGGTTGGTGGTGCTTAACATTTTCAACTGGCACTTCTGAATTCTCGCAACATTGGTTCCCGCAGAAATACACAAGTATGGGTCTACCCAGACAATATGTTAGCATTATGCTATACTTAAATTACTTAAACATTGAATTCATATTCCTAGCGAAGAGCTAGGCATCAGTTGCTGGCATTTAATTTCCATACGTTGCTTGAGTATACCAGATATATGTATAAGTGAATAAATCCTATCTCTCCGCGCAAGAAGAATCTCGCATAATTTTTCGAAGAAGTGCGGATATCCCTGATGGAAAAATTTTGCTGAAAACGTAATGAAATTTGCTGAAATTTGGTTGAAAATCTCTTGCAATTGATCTAATTTCATTATCATTTCAGTAATTTTTCATTAAAAAATTTATTTTCAGTTAAATTCTGCAAATTTCATAATATACAACATTTCTAAAATTTTTTCATTAATTTTTAGTAATATTAATTAACTTTCATCTAATTTCACAGTATTTCATTGAATTTCATAACGAAACTTATGATTTATTTTGAAATGGTTTCAACAAGTTTCCAATAACTTTCATTTCACTTTTCATCAATTTCATTACATTTTCAGCAAAATTTTTCCATCAGGGATGGTCGATTAAAACTTATCATTGACACGTGTATTAAATACGCACGAAACGGAACACACAATTCTTACCGTATCTCGTTTACACATGATGTAGCCTCTCCTTAGCAAAATTTTGATTTGATGAGTGAGATTTGTTGCGTGTAAGCCACGGCTTTCTTTCGATACATCCTTCAAGGGATGGGCCGCTGAAAGAAACCAAAGGTTTACCAAAGATTAAACGATGTCACTTAAATCTAGACTGACTATAAATCAATTTTTACAAACGATGTGTAAAATTACACATCGATTCTATAGTAACGCGGTTTTTATTAACTTGTTTTATTTCCTCCGTACCTCTTAAGGTTTTCGCATCCCTCAGGGCTTCCGGGTTGTCAAACCATTGCAAATTTCGTCCGTTTTGCGATCCCGTTATCAATGTATTGATTTTGTCATCGCCGTACTCTCCGCAGGCAAGCTCGATTACTGTGATATTTGCATATAGCGATAATTAAACGAAATTACTCAACAACTTGCAGAAGGATGAATTATTGTATTATACGTACTGTAATCTGCTGGATTGTGATACATAGGACACGGCAATTTCATATATTCCAGATATGGCACGAGGTTGCTCGTTGATCCTTGGTACAGACAGTCTCCGTTCGTTAACACGTATACCTGCGAGAAATTTGACTTTTTTATCATTGTAATTATAAACGCAATTTTGAAAATAAGAATTGAAACAACGTAGATTGATATCACGCGAAAAACATATGGTACACGTTTTTAAACAGTGACTTTATAATTTCTGTAATAATTTATATGACACATTTACTTACCTGATCGAACAATTGAAACAAGGACGCGCTTGGCTGATGAATAGTACAGACTATTGTCCTCCCCTGTCGCGCCAATATTTTTAGCAGGTTTACGACATGCGTGCAAGACGAACTGTCCAGGCCTCTGTAGCAAATACGGGAAATGTAAAAATATAATGACAAATATAACAAGATATTAATAAACGATCCTTTTTTTAACAGTATGAGCGATATTCAATCGATAACTATTACCGATTTTAGATAAAAAATGAAAATACTGAATATACATTGTATACATTGTATTTCAGAAACGCTAATATTATTCTACACACAATTAAAGGTAGGAAGAGTCAAATATTTAAAAAATGGGGAATAATTACAAACATGTATTTTCAAAATAATTGACTAGCCGAGATCCAAACTGTGAGAATGAAGCATCGTTGTTACAAAGTTTCTTAATACGTGTGAGCACAAGTTGTTTTCATATTGCTAAGAAAAATGTTAGTATTTTGATATGCCGTCTATTGTACTGTTATCTGCTAGCATTTGATGTCGGGAATGAAACATTTGCATGATCCAAACATTACGCTAGCATTAAGTCCTTCGATAGATGTACTAGATATAACATGTTTATATCTGTTAGAAAATTGAAAACAATGTATGCTAACTCTTTGTTAACGGTATGCCATTCGATGTGTTCTCTCTTTAGCTGTAAACTTAACTGCAACAATATGTTAATATTATGCCAGCTGTAACTTAAATCACTCAAACATTGAATTCATATTTCTAGCAAAAAGCTAGCATCAGTCGCTGGCATTTTATTTCTATACGTAGCTTGAACATACTGGCTATAATCTGGGACAGATAATATCATTATATTGTTATATTATTATTCACGAGTTGTTAATATGCAATATAATATAAAAATAAAAAATGATTAAAAATCCTGAGACGACCAATTTTTAAAAACAATATTTAAGTAATGCATTAATGAATTATAAAATTTCTTGTTCAGTACCAAATTATCCTTTTAATAGTCGATAAAAGAAAACTAGCCGAATTATTGCATAATGTATAAATCGTATTTGTTTACGTAAATGTGTAAATTTATTCGGGAATGGAAAACGGATAGGAATATGCACTTAGCGGATAATGGATGTATGAATATTTAAAGAGATAGCTATTAATTTTTTTCGAGCTATATTATATAAACCGGACAAGAAAGTTAGGACTGTAGTCGAATGATCAAAGTTTAAATCGTTATGCTTACGTGGTGGGCTCGTCGAGGAACATCACCGTGGGGTTGTTGACCAATTCCAACGCAATGGAGAGCCGTTTCTTTTGGCCGCCGCTTAATTGACCCGTTTTCGTGTACATGTGTTCGTACAAGCCAAGTGTCGAGAGAATGTCTTCGATCTGAAACATTATGTAGTCAAATCCTTATATAGTACTACAATTCAATTTAAATCGGTTCTTCAACATAAATCCCCGTCACTATTAGTATATAAGTCGATAAATTAGTGCAGCTCAACTAATAATATACACATTTGTATATTACCCTCAAATAATAATTGAATGATTATAAAGCGTGATAAGTTCTGGCAAAGTACTGTGATGTAATTCTATTTTCTTCGATGGATTTTAATAGAGTATCGCGATAACTTTCTTCGCAGTCAATTATCGAAGTAGTTCTAATAAATTTTTACACACGATCATCTCCTTCTTGTGCTGCGGGGTGCTGGACGGCAGCTTCAAATCGGCCGCGACCCTCATGTTCTCGATCACGGTGAGCAGCGGTTCCAATCTATCTTCCTGCGTGATGTAGGCGCTGCATCTGACAAGGGAATTAACGAAACGTTAAAACAGCACGGGTTATTGATGCCGCTCAAGATCCAAAACAAACATATCGATATTTAAATAAGTTGTTTACGCGGGTTGCGTCGAGCCGGGAGGAGAGACAACACGATGTATAAAGTGCCTCTATGCATCTGAGATTTTTCTCAGGTGTGATGAGATCAAAGTATCGAAGGACGTGCTTACTTCCGGAAGTCATTGAGATGCCGAACGCGACCATTGACGTATATGACACCGTCCACCCCGGTTGTGCGGAAACCAGACAGGACGTCGAGTAACGTGGACTTGCCCGCGCCGGATGGCCCCATCAAAGCGATCAACTGTGAGCTTGGGAGCCTTCCGTTAATCCCGTGCAAGATCTCTTTCATCCCTGAAATTTTTTCAACACGGTGATTACTTAATGCAGTGAAGGCAACGTTAGTAACGCTTCCATAACTCTCCCTTCAACTCCGAAGTCTAACATTCTCAGTGTTATAGTTATCATAAGTGATTACAATCAACTGTTGTCTTCTAAGATGTCGTTTTAAATAGGAAATAATTTTTCGCAGGATGCGCACAATTTAATAGGAAATATATAAATCGTCGTCCCGCAGAAAGCAACAGGAACGCAAACACTACTCATTATACGTACATTACATTGAATACGGGATGGGATAGCCTTGGGTTTAAGTAATTAGGAAAAAATAAGAAAGTAATAAAGAAATGAAAATAATAAAAAACAATAAAGAAATAAGGAATAAGATATTGAGCGATGAATTATATACGGTAAAAGGGACTACTATAAGGAAGCTATGGATGGAAAGAGAAAGCAGGTTGCAAAGTTTAAAGAGAGAAAAAGGAGAGAGAAAAAGGACTGAGAGAGAGAGAGAGAGAGAGAGAGAGAAGAGGAGGAAGGGGAAAAGCAATGTAAATGATATAAGATCAATATAAGGCTAATAAAGTATAAATATAAGATCTTTACAAGTGTAAGTACAGATAGGCCAAAGAAAAGTTAATATAGAATAAAGTCAAGTTTAGAATTGTTAAATTTAGGTTTCAAATAAAAGTAAACTAAGTAAATAAAGCAATTAGAAGTATCAGTCACAACATGTAAGAAAGAAAATAGGGAGGAATGAAATAAGTGTGCAAGAATGAATGAGTTAAGATTGTAACTTTTGTAAACTAAGTCCACTTCTTAGTTTTACAACTAAGCTGAAGTTAATAAATTATATAACTATTATGTATTATTACATATATTACATTAAACTACCTCCGATACGCGTACTGTTTGATAAAAATAAAATTCCCTCGTGCTAATTTACATACCCAGTAAAATCCAAGTAATAGTTACATAACATCAATATTATAATTTCCTACATATATGTATATATGTGTGTGTAAATGTAATATAATACATATTGAGTAGGAAATTATAATATTCATGTAACACAATAATATATGTATTACATAATAAAGATGTAATACATAACATTGATGAATTACTACTTGGTATTTACTGGGTATTCGTAAGCTAGGTGACTTTTCTGGTCCAATTTATAACGAGAGATCTCGAGGGTCGCTCACCCTTTCTGAAGCCAAGGCTGACAGTGTAGGTGATGTTCTCGAAAATGATGTCGACCGATTCCAGGGCGTTGTTGACCGCGTCATCGGACGGCATGTTGGCGTCCTCTTGCCTCTCGTTGGGCGTAGATTTAGGGTCGGCTGTACGGACCGACGTATCCGCGCTGGTTTCCCTCCGGTTGCTCGCCTCGTGCATCAATACTTCCATCGTTATGCACACTTTGTTCGAACCGATCGAGTGATAAAGATCGATTATGCTCGAACGATCATCAGTTACTTCAGACGATCTGGAACAAAGAGCCGGCAGATAAAAAGCCTTGATAGAAATACGAAGATCAGCAATAATAGTCGAAGGTCGCGGACATAAAATAAAACATTATAAATAAGCAATTCGTAATGAAACTCTTATGTCTAGTGCATGAATAACCGTGCTCTTTGCCTTATTTTTTAGAAAACTAGACTCTAGAGGATAAACTTAATGCTACACGAGACAGAAAAAACCGCATCTAATTTATGTTGAAATATTTATAACGATGGAACACAAAAGAATAACAAAGAACACAATATATTTTGCTAGTGTAGCGTTAACTGCAAAAATTGGACATACTCAATGAAACTACGTAAAGAGAACAAAAGGCACAATTATTACCTTATAATTAATATTAGGTTTTTTATATTGTAACTCGAAACCACAAAATATCAAAAATATTTTTCACAATAAAACGTATAGCTGTTTAATAAAAGAGAAATAAAAGTATTAGAGATAAATCAATATTTTGTTGAGCCGCCTTTTGCCTTAATGACGTCTCGACATTGGTTTGTCGGTATTATATTATATTTTTCTTCATTGCGTACATATAGTAATTAAGATTAGATTCAACACAATAGCAAAATACATTGCGTTTCTTAAAGTTTTTTGTTTAATTGTATTATCATTACAGATATTTCAACAAAAATTAAATGCAACTTATTCTGTAGCAGAGGGTAATTAAACTTGAATCGAATGTAATCGCAATTCATAACATGGTGCCGTTTCAGGTTAAAGTCCATGAATCTTGTATTATTTCCGCGATTCGACGCAATCCAACATAATTGCCGTTTACGCGTCTCCTTTCGGAATCACATACGACTGATATGCAAATACATATGTCACAGATCGATTAAAAGTAATCAGCAACTTGAAGAAGAATACAAGACGAAGAATGTTATTATAACTTTGCAGATAAAAGGGATTTTCAAAGAAAAACGATTTTTGCGATCAGAACTGGCAAAAGGTTTGTTATAAAATTATCCATACATTTCGATCCTCCGGATTGTGGTCCTTTGACATTTAAAAAAATTAACATTTAAGTATGCTGTAGTTGTAAATTTTATCTAACAGTACGCGAAATTTTAGACCCGGTCGCCGATTAAATAAAATAAGAGAAAAAAATGTCACTGTATTTTTTAACATTTCATAAATACCAAGTAACAGTTACGTAACATCAATATTATAATTTCCTACTCAACAAGAGATAAACGTAATATAATAACCTGTTATATTACATTTGCATTGTTAAGTAGGAAATTATAATATTCATGTAACTATTACGTGGTGTTCACTGCAAGCAAATACTTATTAGTCTTTTTAGAGGAAATTTGACAGTTTTTTCAGACTTGACAACATCACATATTTTTAAATATGATTTTAATTGTCCATATATAACCTGTAGCATATCAATGTATTTGATCAATATCGCATTAAATGATACTTTTTTATGAAAACAGTCACATGAATTTTCAAAAATCAAAGGGGCCCAACCAAAGCACCCGTACAAACGCTCCTTCGTGCAGAAGCAATCTTAATATTCTTAATTAAACTGTAATAAATATCATTTAGGTTTCCCGTGTCTTTGTCTAAGTTACTTGAGTTGGCGCACCCTTTATAAAAAAACATTTCAGCTCTCTTTTACGCAGATCTTTCTCTTTATGTAGCACAGTTTCGATCAATTAAAGTCATGGCCATGTGAAAGACGGTGATTAGTGACACCAGAGTTACTGCCCTAGTAGCACAATTGACGCAATATTGGGAAATAATATAAATCTAGTATTCCCGATATTAGTCCAATATTCTAAGATGGACGCTTTCTCTTACTTAGTCAATATGTCTACTTAGCAATATTGGTCTAACATTGCATCGCTGTTCGACCAATATTGTTATTACATTGTTAAATATTGGCCAATGTACTTCCCATATAAATCTAATATTATATAGTTATTATCGTGCAATATTTATTTCATGGCCAATATTGGCTTCACGTGGGACAATATCGGCCAATGTATTTCTAATATTACCAACATTGGACTAATGTTTAGCCAAAGTTTGGCCAATACATTGTGCTACTAGGGTGTTGTTCGGTCCTAAAATATTGCGTTTCTTAATTCCGATGCCAACGTGGCATTTCGTTCGGCCGACGCATGACAACTTACAGGGAATTTTATTGGTATTATAAATTTTATAATTGTTGTTTGGTCATAAAATAAGGCGTTGATATTCCGGAATTCTGGTGTCAACGAGACGTAAGCAACGTATAAATTAGCCGGGAGGAATTCGTAGCTCTATTTATGGCTACGTAGTTAACATATAAATGTGCGTCATTTTGTGACTGCGGGACAAAGGTATCTTTGTATTTACAAGATTTTCTGTCCGACGTACGATGATTCACAAACGGGAAAGTCAGTCCGTTTCAAGAATGCCCGTATACCAGATATACACTACCGGTCGTCCGTGACATAAATTTTATTTCAAAACTATCAGAATTCAGCGCAATGGACGAAAATAAACCTTGCATTTTTAATGTACAAGGAAAACCGTCTAAAACCTGGCACTTTCACTAATCTATTATTTTGCATAATAATTCCGCCACCCCGCGCGTGGCTTTGTTATTTTACACAAAAGACGATGAAGGCGTTTCTATCTAAATTTGTAATAAGATTGATGATGAGTTATATCATATCAATTAGACTCTTGACGCATCTGATATTTACTTCAAGTGTATACGAGATACTGTTGAATAAAGAGTCTCCCCTCATCTCCATCCATTCCCCGATAAACGCGCGTAAACACTTTTGAGCGTAGGAATAAAAGGCGAATAAGTAACTGGAGGATGACTAAAGGATTATACTCCGAGAAACGTGTAGAGCCTTGTGGTTAGGTAGTGGCTTTTCCGATAATACAGACCGCAGCTCATTGGCTGTGTGGCAGGGTGCACGTCAACATGACCGGACCGCCTTGGTCACACTCCGAGAGTACCAAGTCCAGTAACCTTTGATGATTTCATTGACAGCGGATCCGCTAATCTTATCTAATCGTAAATGAATGTCGTATACCGAGAAGCTAATATTGGTGCATTTTCACTCGACCGCTCCGCTGTTTTCGAAATAAGTTAACGAACGGCAGTCGGACCGTGTTTCAGCAGCGTGTTTGCAATGAGGGAGAAAAAAGAAGAGAACAGAAAGTTGGGTAAATGCGTCAAAGTTATTATCATGAACTTCGTAGCGTATACACACGAGCTGATAGAAAGAAAAAGAAACCCGTCACCAACGGGAAATAATAATGACGCTGCGTTACGCAATGCGATACGATTCTCCTATGCTACTGTAACAAATCGCGATAAACGTTAAATATGGAGCAAAAATATTTCGCATATATTACACATGCGAGCTTGCTAGGCTTCCAACGTCATCGCGTAACGCGAATAAAACGAAATTACTGTGTGGATTGTAATCGCCACTCGCATTAATAAATCGCCCGCAGTTCCAATCGGGACATTTAATGATCGTGTACTTTTTACGCTGCGCTTGTTATTGTCTTTATCAAGCATATGAAAACATGTTTTCTCTGTCCTCTCATCGTATATATTTCCTGTCTTCCCGATGGCACTTAACTTTTCCAAGCGTTTTGCTCGAGGTGAACATCATTGGAAATGGAGGACTAGGAGCGGGGTTGCTTGATTCAGTTAAAGAAAAAAAATCAGATACAACATATTTAAGGTAGGGAGGGGCTTTTTGAGTCACGGAATTTTTTAGCTTTTTTGAACGTTTTGCCTTAAAAGTTGGTTTCTTCCAAATTTTTCTTTAACTAATCAGAACAAAATTAAGCCGCATGAAATTTGCGAAAAGAAGGATTCCCGTTTGCGACATCGACAAACGAATAGACGTAAGATTGATTAACCCGTAGAGGGCCGGCATTTTTCCATTAAAATTTGTAATTTTTTCAGTGAAACATTTATGCATATATGTAATCTACATGTTCCGCAAAGCTTTCAAGCTCCCGGCCACAATAGTGGTCAGTCCGTAAAGGCCTCTAAAGATTAATTAGAAACACCAGTGACAAAAGTGTCTCTTTAGGTATACTCCGTTCAGTGCCGGTTTTAGCAACATTGGCGCCCTGAGCAAGATTATCGTGACGCCCATTCAAATTCAAGGGCTCGAAATTCTTGCGAAAGAAAAGACAGGGTAATAATATCGAACGACGAACCCCATTTTGTTTTTATATTTTAGGGAATCTCTCTCACTCTCAAACTAGGTGAAACTAGGCAGCGGCGCCCCTACAGATTTGGCGCCCTGGGCGACCGCCCAACCGCGCCCCGCCCTAAGGCCGGTACTGACTCCGTTTCGAGCGCGTAAAAATTGATGTTATTATGTAACAAAAATCTGAGAGGAGTAATATATCGCCGAGATTGGCTTTTTCGTCTGGCAAGAAATTGAGAGGCGTAAGAGTCTGCTAACGATAAATTGGAAACACTAATGACAACTTATTGCCTCCTACGCGAAGACACAGCAAGGAACAAGTTCTTATTTTCTTATTTAACAGGAAACTGATTGCAAGAGAGATACGATCTGCCAGAGGATAGATTGGGGAAGCTGTAATATATGTATTACACATTAATGTATGCCGCAAGCTATTTTTTCGCAAGCGGATGATGCAAGCAAGAGGTGAAAGTAATAGAATAACTCTTAGGAGAGTATCGCGCGCTATGGAGCACAGTACGCATATTTTTACGTGTAGAGCGTTTACATGTTGATACATCGAAAGAAAGACGAAGTAAATACGACGATACCTCTGAATTATTATCTTCAGAATTACAAAATCATGCGCCGGAGTATGGGGGACACGAGAGAGAACACACCGTGGATTTCTCTTTTAAATGAGCGAATTCTCATCGTGTTTGAAATTCAGAGCGTCAGACTGCTTCTTCGAATGATCTTTGCTAACCCTTTCATAACCGAATTAGATGTATTTCAAAAGAAATTTTTTTTTATATGACGTTTTTCAGTAATAGCTTGCACGTTACATTAATCAATTTTTTGTGTGAACCAACTTACGTGTCCCAGTGATTATAAAAGAACCAAACAGGTCTGATTGCGTAAAGTGAAGAAAATGTCTTGTGTCAGCCAGGATATGTGTCCTTTCTCCTTTGTTGGTAAAAAAAATCAGTCAATACGGAAATAACAGCAGTGTTGCATAATTAGTAATCACGATTTATTACGGATATTGACCGCGTGCCATATACGCGATGCAAGTATAGTATAATACAACGTTACGTTCGAGCAAGTATGCAATAGCAGTTACTTCTGAAATCGCGACTCTTTGTTTCCGATTTACGATTGCTGCCTCTATACTGTACGATGTTCATAGTTTGTATTGCTTAAGTCGTAGGTGTAAGTTGTAGATTTAAGTTTAGATTAAGTTTTAAATTTAGAAGCTGATTAATGTAAAGTATAATACATATAAAGATTGTAACCCTAGGGGTTACTCAATAAAGATTATTATTATTAATTATATTAAAAATGTAAATTTTTTTGCGAGATTGTGTCAGTTTTGAAAGGAAAAGGACGTACTTCGTACTAGTCGAATCAAACTTACGGAATTAAAGCGAGCGACTAAAGCGTCGATCTCGTATAAGAGAAATGTTGATCGTGCACTTTTCGTAGTCGTCGATTTTCGTCACTTTTCACGCGGACGCGACTTCGCGAAATGATCGCGAAGGCAAACGGGTTCGCGCGTCGCGCACAACAACGGAAACCGGTCGGTACACAGTACTCACGTACTTGGATGCTCGTCAGTGCTGATTACGGAACAAAGAAAGATATGGTCGTTGGACGGCACAAATCAACCCGATCGTAGAAAACACCGCACGTTATCGCTGCCGCGGTTTCGCGCCCTCGATAAAGGATCGCCGCTCGGAGAAGGGACTCCGCCTCCTCGCTCGATCACGCCTTATCGGCGACACTCGCGCATCATAATTACCTCGGGGCGATTGGGAGGGCAGCGGGGAGAGAAGGCATTTAGGCTGCGTCCTCTTTAAATGCGCTGCATTGACAGATAAGCGAATGATGAATCGTATGCACAGAGCGAGCGGCGCGCACAAAGTTCAAGAGAGGTCCGGACGCACGAGCGAGCGTTCCGCAGGCTAGGGCCTTCGTACTGCTGCGAGGAGTATCACGTCGCGTCTCTTCCCGTTCTACTCCTCCGGTAAATTCAGCAGGCTGGATAATACGTCGCTGTCGCAAATCTTCTTATCTTTGGCTCTCCTCTCAAATATCCATATTTTTGACGGCGTGTGTGAATAAACAAGTAAGGCGTTGGCGTAGGATATCTAGTGCCGAATAGTATCGAGGACAGAATAGCTGGACAATGTTGTGTTAAATGCCATTAAAGCGAATCGTTGAATATTAATATATTCACTGAAATGGAGTCGATAAATACTATGTGAATAATGTATCGAATATTTTTGCATATCGAAAACGGAGTATCTACACACAGCGTTGCTTTAACTTTGAATTGAAATAGTTTATAGATGTTAATATACCTGTCACTCTAAGCGAGCGGATAAAAGGAGATGATGAAACTCCCGGAGAAGGCTACACTGTAAAAGTGGTAGACTTTGACCGTGACGCTTGTCAGTATTTATAAAATATAACACGTGGACTTTATTATCTCTCATTTAGCTGCAGCTACTCAGTACGTTCAAGCTAATTACACAAGCAAGCAATTACGCGTAATTTAATTAATACGCGTTTTAAGCGGCTTCCTTTTTCTAAATGAACGAGAAGGAAGAATCTTGGAACGGGGCACGTGTTCTCCGTTGCCGCTTAAGTTAACTTCTTCGGAAGTACGAAAGACAGATTCTTTTATGGAGAGATTGTTAATACCATACGATATAAAGCAAGGCGAGTAATAGAGCGCAATATTTATGTCTTTTCGACAAGGAAGAATAATGATTTTACTCGACTATCTAATTATAGCAATTAATATAATTATAGCGTTCCATCGCACTATATGGTCCCGTTGGTACAAAATCATTTCAATTTTATCGTAGGATAATTGGTATTTGGTCGCGAAGGCGACTTTGCGTTTCCAAGAAGAAATTACTGTAATTAAATTGTTTTCTACTACACCATTGGATCGCGACAGTGTGCGAGAAAATCTTTTCCCAAAGGAGTAAAATCGAAAAAAGACCGCCCGACTTCGGACAGAGATACTTGATTCACACTTGACGATCTCTTTGCCTCTCGTATATGAGAAGATTGAAAATTGTTGACTGGTAATTCCGTTTTGTTATCGGACAGATAAAAAATTGATACGATCAAAGTTTTATCATGTCTCCCTCGGCGTACATATTGTACCTAACGCTCAAATCATTGACTCGTGTATATAAATTGCACATTGGGTAGAGATGACTCGCGGATCGAAAGATCAAAACAGGAAACGCGCGAAGATGATTTACATTTTATTTTAGTCGAGCGGATGCCGGTTTCTCGCCTCGCGTATGCGACACGTGCGTGACACGACCGCGATATAAAACCGTGACGATCATGTGATTTGCACGCGTATCTCTTGTTTCAAAATCGCCGCTGTTCAATATCGATACGGAATACGAGAGGCACGAAACGTCACGAAGTGTCGAAGCTGCAATCTATAATATCTCTCGTATTGCTTTTTTGTTGTGTCGATAACACATGATCGATCGTATTATCAATAACGTCACATCCAACGAGTGTTGATAAATTCTGCATAAAAAGTATTTTGAAAAGGATTAACTTACATAAGCGGCAACGAGGAACACGTGCCGTTTTCTTCAGAAATTCGGGAAAGAAGACCGCTCAGAGCGTAGCGGTTTAGTCACGTGCAATTGCTTGTGCCACTGTGAGTCTGTAATTGCCGTAAAAAGGCAGCTGTATCTTCCGGCGACTGTGCTACTAAGAATAATTATTAGTAAGGTGTATGGTAAAATTTCCAAAAACTCTCATAAAATTCTTCGAAACGCCGTGTTGTCCCACGATTACATCATTTTCAGGGTAAATAAAAAAAACAATTTTTTCCGTATACATTACAATAAATTCCCTGGCGAAAATAAAGATTGGAGCGTAAGACAAGTGCAAGTAGAGACTGACAGAAAAGTAAATGAAACTCCTAGGATGCGTAAATTGAAACAGCGGAACGTAAGAGACGCGTTAACTTCTTAAAATGCTTCTTTTACATTCGTATACGTAGAACGCGATGTATGCATATGCAAAATATATAAATGCGTGTACAAATTCAAATCGGAAGGCATAGTGACACAAACGCGCTGGGCCTCGATTCTTGAATTCATTCGAAGGAGAAACGTATGCGAAAATTCTGCTGTCACAGAAGAGTTGCAAGTCGATTGGGCTATTCGCGTGGTTTTTAACCAATCGAACTTTCAACTCTTCTGTGTGAGCAGAATTTTCGCATACGTTTCTTCTCCGAATGAATTCAAGAATCGAGACCCTGGAAAGTACTAAACGCCCCAACCGCGCACCCGTTCTTAGCGCGTATTTTTAGCGCGGAGCTTGTCGCACAAAAGTCCCGATCAAACGATTTAGAGCCCGATTCAATTCCCCTCGTTCGAAAACACCGCCGAGGAGCCGGGACAATGACCTTTCGGTCGCCGCAGCCGCGGGTGGGATCCCCGTCGGGCCGTCGAGGAGTTATCTGAAAAATCTCGCTCGTCCACCGGGAGTAGAGCTTCGAGGCGTGAAAACAAAAAGACAAAAGCCGGGAGGGAGAGAAGACGCATCCGACTCGTTGATCGACGATGCTTTTCGTCGGCGATCCTAAAGTTCGAAAATTCGTATCTTCTCACGGGAGACAGCGGGGAATTACGAGCGCTCGTAATTTTTCGGCACGCGAGACATAAATCTCCCGCTTTAACGCGCCGCGAGATGTATAATAACGTCCGTACCGAACGAGCATGAAAATCACTCTGAACGCGGTTCAAGTCAAATAGAAATGATTCTCTATTCTCGACTTCCGTCCGCCGAGCGCCGAGGCGCGGGGAAGAAACTCTCTGGACATAGAAATCTCTTTAAGTTGTCAGTAGCAAACATGCCTGGTCGAATTGGTGAGACGCCCGCCTAGAGAGTAGGGAAGTCCAGGTTCAAACCCTGGCTGAGATAATATTTTTCGCAATAAATTTTCTGTTGACCGGTTAATATCGACTAAAAAAACTCTCTGAAATGCGTTTCACCATTTCCATTCACATTTGTATATTCTATCAATATTAGACCAATATTCTTATTACATTGTTAAATATTGCCTAATGCACTTCCAATATAAATCTAATATTACATAATTAATATCGGGCAATATTTACATTTATTCCATGGCCAATAATATTGGCTTTACGTTGGACAATATCGGATTAATGCATTTCTAATGTAACCAACATTGGACCAATGTTTAGCCAATGCAGTGTGTGCTACTAGGGGCGTTCTGAAATGTGAATATTTGACGGATCTATAGGCCTGTGTCCACGATGCTGGAACTTGGTCCAAGTTCTGCTTTCGAGAAATGTGTATGAATTTGCATCTTTTACGGAAAAGCTGCAGGTTGATCGGCTACACATTTCTCGGAACTAGAACTTGGACACAGTTCTTAGATCGTGGACACAAGGCTCAACCCTGCCGGAAATAATTCTACAAAATTCTACCAAAAAATAAAATAAAATATACTACCAGAATCTAAGAAATTCTACGTGAATTAAAAAAGTATTATAAAAATCAACATGAAAATGCTAGAATTGGAACACTTTTGTTAATTTTTGTAATATTCTACAAGTAAGTAGATGTTTTAATTCTTTAAGACTTTGGTGTTTCTCAAGTTTTTAAAACTAGTAAAGTTTTGTACTAAGTTTTACAAAAGTGTACATTTTCACGAAATACTACTTGCAATAATTTATTGACTTGAGAACATTGTAATTTGTGGTACTATTTCGTAGATATCTTTGGAAAAAAAATGTTTCAACGAAGATATAAAAATTTCTATACAAATTTCTATTTCAAGTCAATTTTTGGTAGTCATTTATAGAATTTTTTCCACTGAAGAACGTGCGAGAGAAGAGAGAAAACTTTGTAAGAGTCTTTTACTGTCGTATTAATTTACTTGCACGTTGACTAGAATTAAGAGTCTTTTACTAAATAGGTATAATCAATTCGCAATAAACATTAAATAACAGTTACGTAATATTAATATTATAATTTGCTACTCCGCGGCGTAACTGTTTTGTACAACTCATCTTATATTACATTTATTACGTTACAAAATAATTTACATTTTATCTTGGGTAATTTATCCTCGGCCGCGAAGGTACACAACTTTATGTTTCAAAGAAGACAATGCCGTAATGAAATTGTTTTCCACGACACTCTTTGGTCGCAAAAATGTGTACGGTAGCAAAAAGTGTTGCAATGTATGTACATACATTTACTTGGAATCGACACGCAATCGCAATGTCCTTTTTTTTCTTATCCGTGAAATTTCTCACGACTCCGTGTCATCACGCGACCTCGAACACGCGCGGGATAAATTACGAACTTTTTACAAGAGAGCATAAATACATATCGATTCGATATACATGAAAATAGAAAAAGCCTTCTCAGATAGCACACATAGTTCTATGAATATTCTTTTGGAGTGCAAATATTCTTAATTTCAGAATATTCCAATCGAATATTCTATAAATATATACATATAGATTATTACAATTAGAAATCGTATATTCATATAAACAAAGAAGAACGTTTTCAGAATATTCGTCGAGAATGTCTTCGGAATATTTGTTTAGAATAATTTTTAAATATTTATCGAGTTTATGTATTGCGCATTGTTTATTGTGTAATACACTTATCTTATGCAAAAGGCAGTGAAACTTGTCATCATCCATGTATAACCGACACGCTATATTCGATAGATTATTCTATTCACATTTGAAAAACATTTATAGTAGTGCCAGTCGAATATTCTATGAACATAAGATAAATATATAAGAATGACCTATAGAGGATATTCCAAATATTCTTGAAAAATATTCTTAAAATGTTCATAGGAGTGTCTTGTGTTATCTGGGTTATTTTCCAGGTCGGAAACGTCTGTCGCGTCTTTGTTTACTTCATTTGCAACGCGTATTTCAGCGTCCGTGCAAACCGGTTCGGTTTCATTAGCTAGTTGTCTCTATTTTTTAAACTAGTATCAGATAATCAATCCGTTAATTACTATGTATATATAATATACATAGTATATTATATATACATACAATATAATTACTAATTACTTAGTTGATCAACCCGTGGGACTTTCTAGATCTCCCAGGAGCTCTCCGCGCCGCTTCGAGTTAACGGAAGAAGAGAAGAGAGACGATCGCCGTCTCAGCGAAACGCGAAACGCTTGGGAAAAAAAAGTTGAGCTCGGTTAAGACGTCAGATGTGCACGCGCATACCATACCTAGTATAACTAGTAGACCAAATTGAGTGAGGTTTATTGTCGCCAGTGGTAATTAACACGGTAGATTAAGTTAGATAATAAGTTTAGATTTTAGTTACTTTAAGTTACCTTAGAATTATGACTAGATATAAGGAGATATGTATATGTAATTGGTGGAGAGCGTAACTAACCCCCCAGGGGATCGCCAAATAAATATATGAATGATAATTAACACGGAAAAATTTTTTCAGAAATCGGCCAAACTGGCTTAAAAAGTGATATGTATTTAAGTCACAACGTTTCGACCTCTTTATCGGGTCTTTTTTCAAGTACAATCTGGAAACAAATGACAAGGGTACAAACCGCAATACAAAGAAAGGAACTTTTGGTACATAAGTATGTGTTGCAAAGGAGAAAAAGTGCCTAATGTTGAAATTAATTTTATACCGAAACAGAATGAATTCATGAGTCTGTGGCAGCAAATCCTTAATGTCATATCTGGAATTATTACAAGTACAGATAAAGAAATAAATAAATAAATAGGGAGATAATAGGCCAGAGAAATAAATCAATAATAAGTTAAGTGTATGAGTAAAAAAAAAACAGTCAAAAGGTAGATCAAAGTAAGATGATAAGTTCAGGAGTACAAAAAACAGTCAAAGTAGATAAAGGTAAGAGAATAAGAATAATTAGATGAATAAGTTAATTAATAAATAAGTTTAGTGCAAGAGTCAAAATGTAAGTAAAAGGTAAAGAGCTCGTGGACTCACATGTCTCGGTAGTCAGTGGATTTTTAACTCATTATGAACTCATTCTGTTTCGGCATAAAATTAATTTGTTCAGTCAACATTAGGTACTTTTTTCTCCCTTGTAACACATACTTATGTACCAAAAGTTCCTTTCTTCGTATTGCGGTTTGTACCTTTGTCATTTGTTTCCAGCTTGTACTTGGAAAAAGACCCGATAAAGAGGTCGAAACGTTGTGACTAAAATATATATGACTTTTTATGCCAGTTTGGTCGCTTTTTGAAAGAATTTCCTCGTACAACTAGTAGGTTCACTCTCTGCCGACCGCTTTGATCTTTGTGGCCTTGATCACGTGGTATTCCGCCATCCACCCGGGCAGGTTCCAGCGACGCGTGTGTGTGTGTGTATACGTACTCGTCAAAGCCGCACTACCACACATACAATTTTTCTCTCATCGGTCTCTGCTCT